GACCTTGCCTGAATGTCAGCAGAGATTTTTCTATGATGTGCATGTTTGTTTCAGCTTTAATAGCACCTTTACACATGACATGTCCACTTATCATCATGGCGGCAGGCCATTTGTGCACTAACACCGCTGAGTGGTCCCTGTGCTCTTTAGCAAAATTGATGCAAAGAACCTCTCCCTATCGTTAATTCTCAACCACTCTGCTTTTCTTAGATACTCAGTTGTACTCGTTTATGTTACTGGGCTGTTGTAGTTATGCTTTTTAGCATTAAATGTCTTTGCCAGTCTTTTGTTACCATGTCAGAACTTTTTTCACCTTAAACTAACTAACTGGAACTGGAACTGGGGCTTAGCCCAACTCCTGAAAAACAACCTCACACCATTATCCCCCCTCCACCAAACTACACTTGGCACAATGCAGTCATGTACGATCCTCCTGGCAACCGCCAAACTTAGGCTTGTCCATCAGATCGCCAGATAGAGAAGCGTGATTCATCACATCTCCCACTGCTCTAGAGTCCAGTAGCAGCGTACTTTACATGGATCTGACTGGATCTGATGCTTTGCATTACGCTATATGATGTAAGGCTTGGATGCAGCTGCTTGGCCATGGAAACCCATTACATGAAGCTCTCTATGCACTATTCTTGTGCTAATCTTAAGGCCACATGAAGTTTGGAGGTCTGCAGAAAATTTGCAGAAAGTTGGTGACGTGTTCACAATATTTTCCTCAGCATCCGCTGACCCTGCTCTGTGATGTTACAAGGCCTACAACTTCATAGCTCTACTTTTGTAGAAGTAGTCTGCATGTCTACCTGCATGATTTTATACACCTGTGGCCATGGAAGCAATTGGAACACCCGAATTCAATGATTTGGATGGGTGAGTTAATACTTTTGGCAATATAGTGTATATGGGAATTCTAAATATCACGTTACTTTGGACCTCTGACCTCTTCCTCAAGCTCAAACAAGGTCAAACTTTGATTCTCAGCATCACATTGTAAGTATGACATCCAAATATCATGCCACATTTGACCTCTGAGCTCACCTTTTCTTATTCACTAATCTGCCTTTCTTTCAGGTTGGCCCCAAAGTATGTTATATCTTTAGAGAAAGTGTTGTCAAGAGAAAAAATTAGCTGCCTAGTTGGTTAAAAATATACTGTAGTAAAATATTATCTAAGAAGCTCAGGTTATTCATGTCCAGATATTTACAAATCAGTACCTATTATGCCTTGCGTACTCCTACATTGTGTTTGTGTAATCCAAACAAACACCTGTCACGCTACTGTCCAACAAACTTCTTAAAGTATAAAGAGAACAATGAAAACAAGATACAAAAAAATGCAACACTGTTTCCTTAAAAGTAAATAGTGCCCAGAGAGCGCGCTGCCCTGTCGAAGGATTGTGCTCTCCAAGTGTTTCTTGTTTTATATAATAAAATAGTTGACTCATATTTTATAGTCTTGATTTTAATAGGACTGAGATCTTCTTAAAGGTTTACCTGTTTACGCATTATGTCCATGGTCTGCATGATGCAGCGCGGTATGAGGCCATGGTTCCTGGCTAGAATCATTGCCTGCTCCAGTGTCACAGTCAGAGTACATCTGCAAAGAACATGAAGGCCAGTGATTAATAGTGTGTGTTCCTCTGCAATAAACCCAAAAATGAAGTAAAATGAATTTGAATGGCGAGGTTAGGATGAGTTTGTGAGGTTCCAATGGGGCATGTCATTGACTCTGCACTGTGTTATTTTTATGTAGTCTGACAGTCCAGTGACACAACAAAAGCAGCATAATAATTCTGTGGTGTGGTGCCACACTGACCTCTGCATCCCTGTGCCACACATGGTGATGTGGCAGGCTCCCAGGCGGTTACACAGCTCAGAGGACACACACAGCACGCTGACACCTGACTGGTGGCCTTGGGCATTCGGGCGCATGTTGATGTACGACTGCATTAGTCGACAAAGGTCGTCCAGCGTGTTGAGGGGTCTCAGCAGCTACGGGGAGGCGGGAGGAAGTAAAGGTCAGGGAAGGTTAGCCGTTAAATGCACTGCTAACAAGATGATTCAATAATACATCACAAAAGACATCACCTTAACAAGCCGCTTAGACTACTGTTGACTTTTTAAATCGCTTTCAAACCAAGCGAATTAAAAAGTCTCTCATTACCAAGACAAAAAAAATGTATTGAAGTGAACAGAACACTCCAAAATAATATAATTATATTCATGTGAAATATTTTAAAACATGGGACTAGTAGAGTAACTTGACTTGTAAGATGGAGAACAGAAATGGGGAGAAAACAACCATCAAATACAACACAAGAACGTCTAAATGTGCGGTCTTTCTCTTTCTATATTAAAACTATGATCTATTCAGTTTTAATTACTGCAATCTATTTCAACTACAGTCAGTGTGGGACACTAGAAGTTCAAATGGACACCATCTATAATTGCTGGGGTTAGTTGGAGTTAACGGGGAGGGTCTTGACAAGCTATGGAGGAGTTTCCAGTGGAGGGAATGACACACCAGTTCATCTTACTTTGGAAATGCTTGGTTGAAGGTCTCTAACTTCAAGGCCCAGTATCTGTGCTTGCATTTATATTCAGTCACAACAATATATATATATAAAAAATTGACTTATGTTACAATAACAAGACAGATGCTACATATGAAATGACCATACAGACTACTATAAACTCATCAAGGTTAAAAACAGCAATTGGAAATACATGTTAGGATAAGTATATATTTACCTGGTCTATCTTCATTGCTGTGGTGTTGGAGTCTGTAGGGAGATTTGACTTCTCCAAATAGAAAGCTCTGTGAGGAGAGAAGGATTACGTTCTCAGTTTTTTAAACTCTTCATCGGGTTGGAAAAATTACTGATTTGCATCCTGTGACTCACTTTTGTTGGAGAGCTGACTCATCTAGTATCTACAGATTTTGCAAGTGCTAAACTGAGTATTTCATCATTTATTAATGCCGCATTGTTGAATCACTTTCTGGGAATTAGGGTGCACATATCAGTGACCACACACGATGTAAAAACACTGGTATATAATAGATATAGCAAATCTTCAATCATAAACCATTAAAACTTCAAGAGTTAATATTTATATTGTTCAACACGTTACTACTTAAGAAACAGTACCACAGTCATTTTGCTGTATATGTAGCTAAATCCTGTTCGTTCATGTGGGAACTGCTCAAGGACTCCTCTGGATACATGATTAAGTTCTGACCTTGAAAGCTTGACTTTCACATATGTAATATACAAAGT